TCATAGCCATCAACGTCAAGTACGTCTTTTCCTGTGCCACTGCACTCGCATACTTGGTCATCAGCTTTTCTGCGAAATCATCAAAGTCCTTGATCGATCCATGAGGGAGCTGCTGAAACCAGTCGAGCGCGCCTCCCCTCAAGGTCGACAAGAATGCCCTGCAGCTAACCGAGTCAGAATAACCATGCAACACAGCCAAATTCTCAAACGCCCTTACATGCCTCGACGGGTCAGTGGTCCCATCGAACATAAAACTCATGTCTCTGAAATTCACAGGTAATGGTGCAGCCAATATATCCCTCGAGAACGGATGTCCTCGAGCACGTCTTTCAGGTCGACCATCCATCTTAGCCTGCATCTGCCTCACCTGTTCCGCGAGCCTCTCCACCTCACGATCTCTTAAGGCCCCATCTCCTCCATAGCTAGACACGTCCTCATCCACCATCGTTGGCCCAGCAGCCACTCGCGAAAGGCTTTGAGTGACCTGCTGAACCGCTTGTGCCGCCGCGTTCGCCACCATCTGCTGCATCTCCTGCCTAGTCATCACCACCTGCTGGCCAGGACACTGTTCCTCCACCGGCGGCGGCACCGCTCCTTGCACCGCCGCTCCTCGCTGCAGCGTCGCGGCCAGATCTGGTTGCGGCGGCGTTGGGGCCACCGCGCCTTGAGCTGTGCGGGTCTCCTGGGCCCGATTTGAGCCCACATCAGCCTCTGGTTGCACCGGCGTGACTTCTACACCTTGGGGAACAGGCGTCGGAGTCACCGGTGTACGCGAGGGTCCAGAGAAGCCCGGAGGTTGGCCTTCTCCAAACGGCCTCGTCATCGTCCACGCATCATCGAACGATGCTTGTAAATCTCTTCTAGGAATTCCGTCCGCCATAGCTACCAAGCTTCGGAAATCTCAGCACACCATTTTTCGAACGAAAGTCCCACAGACGGCGCCAAATGGTAACGCAAAACACTCCGATCGGCTTGAAATCGGTTTGCTTCCTTCTTCCTCGCCAATAGAACGCCGCGTCCCTGCACAGAACTCTCACACCGGAGGGGTTTTTCGGTGAAGAGCCTCCGATGCTTAAGTCAGTATATGTTTGTTCAATTTTCCAAAGTAAAGAATGGATAAATCGTAAATCCTAAGAAAAGACCCACTCCCATATATATAGGAGTGAGTTACCTGCCCTAAGAGCTGCCCGGATATTGGTGAGCTGTCCTGCCCTCGCTGCCCGTCCGTACACACACAGTGTGCGTGTTGTCAGAAATGTCAGGGGTGTCAGAGGTGGTTGTTGCCACTATCACGCTGCACCAATACGTTTTCGCCACGTGCCCCCCTCTGAGCTGAGGGAAATTATTCCCTTGCGCAAACCGTTGGGATCTCCTGACATCACTCACGCGCCCACTCGCGTTCAGGTCACGCTCTCGACTGCTTCCTTCCTGCTGCATACTCGATCTGATCGAGCTCCCCCTTACTAAATTGATCCTCGACCAACTCTGCTATTCTGCTCGATCTGTTCCGTTTCGGTCGATCATTCTTCAACCAACGTGGTTTTCTCCCCCCTATGCCTGCCTAACCGACGTGATGGACCGGTCTGCTCCTTAGTCGTATAATATCCCATATCAATCATAAATTTTTTATAAGTCTTAATGAGAAAACAGATAGTGCATGTGTTTAAGTGCAGTTTCGAATTTCTATATATTTAGTTGTAAAAATTCGAATTTTTATATACATGCATGATTAAGCTAAGATTAAAATGTTAAAAAAAATTATTATAAAGCATTAGTATGATGTTTGAAAGATTTAAATATGTTTAAGTTTCATTGATTTGATAATTAATTAAATTCATAAGAATTTAATTATTAGTAATGATTTTGAACTCTAGTATAATATTGATTAGTCTTTGAAAATTTTATATTTTTAGAATATATGATGGCTGGGATAATTTTATTAAATTATTTTAGAAATCGGGTTATAATCGAATATGTTGAGTTTTTGTAAATTTTGATAAAGAGATGATTAAAGTAGGTATTTTAACCTTTAAAATGAAGTTTTATAAAATAGTAAATTTGGTTTTTATGAGCATCATAAACTGTGTCGAGCCTAGTCACTTGCTAGTGAGTTGAGATGAGTATATTAAAAAAAAAAAAATTATTTTAGAAATGTCTTATGTATTAAGAAAGTAGCATAAGGTGGTGATTATGTTTCGTATATGCCACTTAATGGTATATGTGGCTTAAGGAGAATTAAAGTAGTTTTCACCTACCTTTTCCATTGTTTATTAATAGCCATAAAAGCAGAGTATTTGTGATTCAAACCAGTCCAGTTTAAGTATATCAGTTTTATTTCCGAACTTAGTATTATTTTAGAGAACCATTAGTTTGTTCCTTTATACCCAGAGTAGAGTTGAGCACCCTAGCATCTTATTGAGTATTACGAGCATAGTACTTAGTATATTTGTTTATATTTTTATGTAGCTTGCAAATACATCTACCCAACACAGCACTTACAGTTTTCAAAAGTTTTTCAAAAGAAGAACAGGTGGGGACCCAACCTGGGTATTACATTGCTTATAATATTGTACCATGTATGAGGTATGTATGTAGATATTTACCCGAACGGTCAAGTTATTCCGTTCGTGGTCCAGTTAAGATGAGTTTATAATCACCCGGTCTTGTATAGAAGGTTTTTCCATCCTGGGTTTCTGGGGAGGCGACCCCCAGAGTGTGATCACATGATAATCCGGACAGTTCCCGGATGTTGCATCAGTAAAGTGAAGTTTTATTTATGTATATACATTGTTCATGATATTGGATTATATGTGTTGTATATTCAGTATGGGTTTTTACGGAGTACAAAGGATTAGTACTCACGCCCCACTATTATCATTTTCAGGTAACAGTGTCGGTGCAGAGGTGTGAGCTGAGCAGTGGTGGTGGGGTCGTGGATTCAGAATATTATTTTTTACGAGCACATTTATTTATACTGTTGTGTAATATGATGTTATATTTTTCAGATTTCCGCTACGCATTTCAAGTTTCGAACTTGCATGTTAAGTATTTTCAGATTTACAGACTTTAACCAGTTTACCAGTATGAACGGGTTTTCAAATTTACATGCTTGTTTGATAAAGATTAAAAATATGTTTTCTTTATATTTAAACTAGCAGTTATATCAAGTTCAAGAAAAAACGGATTTTTAGAAAAGATAAATTTAGTAGCATCCCGAGTTAAGAGCAAAAGATTTAAAAAAAATTAATAATCATTTTCGAAGTAAACGAAGAAAAAAAAAATACTCTGATAAGCGGGGTGTTACAAGGTCGCCACCCCATACCATCCACAGACGTCGGGCCAAGTAGAGACGAGCAACAAACAAATCAAGACCGTTCTTGAGAAGATGATGAACTTGTCCAGGAAGGATTGGTCGAGTAGGCTAGATGATGCTCTATGGGCACAACGTACAACTTACAAGGGAGTCTTGGGGATGAGCCCGTTCTGGCTCGTTTACGGAAAGGCATGCCACCTTTTAGTCGAGATCGAACACAAGGCATTTTGGGCAACTAAAAAGATGAACTTTAATCTTGATGCCGCCGGGAAGGAGAAGATGTTGCAACTCTCGGAACTCGAAGAATTGAGGAATGAGGCATACGAGAATTTTGAAATCTACAAGGACAAGGTCAAAAGGCTTCACGGCTCGACCATTGTCCGAAAGAACCTAGTGCCCGGTACGAAAGTTCTCTTATTCAACTCCCGACTTCGTCCCTTGTCGATGAAGTGTTATCTCTTGGAGCTGTCTGACTTCGAAATCTGGCGAATGGTGACATGTAGTAAACGGGCAGCGAGTGAAGCCGTACTTTGAAGGAGAATTCGGGAAGCAACATGTCGAGACCATCAGTCTCGGCGACCCACTGTATCCTTGATTCAGAATGGTGCCGAGCTCCCGACTTTAAACCGAGCATTTTTGTACTTCTTGTATATATATATATATATATATATATATATATATATATATATATATTTAAATTGATTTTATTATCATAAAAAAATGGTTGAATCCTTAGCGCCGCTAAGGCAGATATTCATAGCGGGTTTCACCATTTCTGAGCCGAACAACTAAGGCGGGTTAGCGGCGCTAAGGAACCTTAGCGCCGTTAAGGACTGAGAATTGTTAAAAATAAAAAAGGGAACGGGCATCTGGGCATAATCTCACAAATACATCTCGCCCTCTCAAGCAAACACCCCTACTCTCATCGCGACCATCTCTTTCATCCAAATCCGGCGACCGCCTCCGACCAGTTCAAATCCGACGACCATCTCCGTCCAACCTACCCCTCGTCTCCTGTCACCGTCATTTCCACTTATCCATCATCCACCAAACCCTAGCTCGCGGCCAATCCCTTAGTGCCAACCATCCGACCACCGACGACGACGCAATTTCGGCCACCTCATCACCCACAGCCGCCCGTTTTCTAATTTCCAAGTCTGTCCACCGAGCCCTAGTTCGAAAAAATCACTTCGTCTCCAGTCATCTACCTCAGGAGACCACCTCCGGCCAGCCACCCAGTACCTCCGGCGACGAACGACCAGCAACCTCAACACCTCCGTTCACCTCAGTCAACAGCCCTCCACAAAACCCTAGTTCGTGGCACTTTATTATTTCCAGTTAATTCAACTCAAAGGTACGATTGGCTCTCTCCAACTGAAATTGATGCATTGTAGTGTCGTGAGGAGGCCTACTCCGAGTTTGAATCATTCCAAATTGTCCACAGTATCTTAAGCACGATTCTCGCATGCCACGTGTTCGACGAATTGCCCGAACCAAAACTCATGGTCAAAGGCAGACCTAACGCAAAGAAAAAGGCCCCTGCAGCTTCAAAGAGCAAAGCGTCGGCCTCCACGAGCGCCAACCCCGACCCGGCAGTCCCAGCCTTGTCCTTAGCACAACAACACGACATTCCCTTTGAAGTCGTGTCGATGGACGAGGTCAAGGCGTACCAAAGGCTTCACGCCAGGCTCGTTCTAGCACCACGCCAAATCGATTGGGAGTACTTCAACGACGAGCTCGAGATCGGTGACGATATCTACCGGTATATCAAGTTGCTCGACCTCAAGGAATTCGAGGATACGGAACCGTATGCTTACCGGTATTTGACCCTGGAGTTCTTCAGCATAGTCGCCAGGCACGAAAATGGGAAGTACCTCACGGCTCGACTTAAGGGCACAAAATATAATATCACCGACAAAGTGTTGCGCGACATCTACAAATTGGATTCCTCAATCGCGACACGCCACAGCCCCATGGGGTACAAAATCGACCCGCATTGGGCGATCATCTCCCCATGCGAGACATACAAGAAGTCGGGGCCGTCTTTGGGACTAATCAGCGACTTGGCTCATGTGGTGATCCACAAGTACATATCACAAATGATCTACGGCAAGGAGTCAAACAAGGTGAGCGAGCAGCAGGTGTTCATCTTGTGGTCAATTTCTCACGACAAGCCGGTGACCATGTTGCAGTATCTGAAGGACACCCTTTTCGACATACGCAACGACACAAGGCGCGGTCCAAACTTGGGCCATGTGGTGTCCAAGTTAGCCGAGTACTTTGGGGTTGACATCGACGAACCCCCAATCCGTGCCAAGCTGATTTCACAGAAGGACCTCTGGCACGCCGGCTACCTGATCAACCCACACACCCGAAGCTCGTCACCAAGCGGTCCAGCTACAAGGCCTATTGCGAAGAAATGGGTATACCCTATCCGGACGACGAGTCCCAACCGGCAGCCGGTACATCGGCTGGTCCAGCCGACGAGAACTCTCATGATGAGGACGGGAACGACTCCGACGCCGACAGACATTCCGTTCACGAGACCATTCAGTCTCCTCCATCGATAGATGCGCACACGGGTGCGTCTTTCCAGTCGGCTGCTCCAGTTTGGTTCTTCGAGTATGAGGCTCGGAATGAGGATGTTGGATGACTTTCACCGAGCAGAACGACGCGCGTTGAACGTCATTCGTGGAGTCCAACGATGCACATTGGATGGAGCAAACCAGGAGGTGGAAAGAGTTTGTTCAGGGCAATGAGGCGCACTGGACAGCCCATGACAACCGATGGGACACTTGGGCGTACCAGCAGTGGAGCACTTGGGATACCCGATTCAGCCAGTGGGATACCCTTAGGAATCCGTGGAACAGCAATGCCCCACCGCCATCATCGGACGCACAGTGACTTGTCACTGTGCTTTGTACGTTTTTCTGTCTCTTTCTCTTTTAATTTTGTATAGCTTATTTTATTTTCCAGTCGGTTAATTGTGTGGTCTAGCTCTCTTGTACTTAGGATTAGGATTGATAATGGGGACATTGTCTAATTTTAAGTGTGGGGGAGTTTTACGTGTTTACGTGACTACATGGTTAACCGGGTCTAGTTCTTCTTTTTTGGATTGCTTTTATTTTCTTTTCTCTTGCTTTGTGGACCGTGTCTAGTTTGTAGAATTATTTGTTTGTGTCTTTCTGAGCTTGAACTTTGATGTATTGTAAGACTAGTTGATGATTGATTGATTGGGTTAAGAAGTTGTGATGATGAGAATGAGTGGCACATTTTGATGAATTGGCTTGGTTGTTTTGTGGATAGTTATTTTACCTTGTAAGGATTGAGCCACGTTCATTTCTTTTCTCGTGAGTTATTGGTCAGAATCATTGTCAATTAGAATTTGCCTTGAGTCTACTTAGAAATGAAATAATTGGATTTGTGAACGTGAATATGATTGAGGCATTCTTTGCATTTCCTTTCCCTTTTCTTTTTCTGAAAATAACTTCGCTAGTCACCCCCTTTGAGCCTTATTGATTTTCTTTCTTTTATAACCTCGTGACAATGATATTGTGGGGTTGCAGGTGTAGAATTGGAGGTGATTCGTGTTTGTATATATATATAGATAAAAAAAAAGCAAAAAAAAAAAGAGAGAAACCGAATGGATTACATAAAATGTCCAAAGGTTCTCACACAAAAAAAAAGAGAGAAAAGAGAGAAACCGAATGGATTACGTAAAATGTCCAAAGGTTCTCACAAAAAAAAAAATGAGAAATGGTGAATAAGTTGGGAAGTATGTTGGTTATGGAGTGGTTGGGGGAACCGGTTGATGTCAGCAACCGGAGAAGTTCATGATTATGGTTATCTGATTGAGTTGATTTGATTTTTATTTACACAGTTAGCCTATATTTATCCTACCCGATCCAAAGAGCCTACGTTACATCCCTTAAAGTCCTCTTTATTCATTGTTTCACGAATTTGATTGTTTTAGAGTAGGAGTTAGACGAAACTTATGATTGATTCGACTGACGACCAATTTGAGTGTACCCAGCTGATATTTGAGAAAGAAATTGAGTGAGGCACGTATGATATACTTTTGTATTCGAGAGTTTATGACCTAAGGATACCCAAGCTAGCAGCGCTTTGTTTCTTAGCGGTTTCAGACTCGAACGGCTAACATGCCTTAGCGCCGCTAAGGTCTATTTTGTAATAGCCGCGATTTTCGTGGATTTTGAATTGGAGAATGATATATTTCGATCCTAGGGCTAATGTTAGACATTCTGAACATTGTGTATTTCGTTTTTCACTTCCATAATACATCTTTGATCTAGTTTTCATAGGATTTTGATCTTGGATAGTGAAAACTCCAAGATTCGACTTGTGGATTTAGATTGCTCGTTATTTTTCGACATTGGATTCGTATTTAACCGTAAGCTTTCTATTTCATTTTATCTATAATGATGATGCTTGTGATTGATGTTGATGTTGATGTTGAATTTGGGATGAGTAGCTAAATTCGTATCTAGGGCTAGGGAATAATTGTTCCAGTTCGATTTCGTTTGTGTGATTGTTGCATTGCTCAATCTATACAAGTTCTGTTAAACCTATGGTTGGATGATTGATCACCATCTTAATCTATTCAATCGATTTTAGAACTGAAAGGGGAGGAATCGATCGATCTAGGCTTGTTTAGAATAGACTTGTTTGGAAACGTATTGTCTATGTGCTAATTGATTCGATAATTGTTCGTTTATGTTTGTTCTCTTGTTTCGTGAGTTATTGAGAATGAATCTATAAATGAGTTAGTTTTTCGAGTTCTTTAGCCGAGTGATCAATTGCGTTTAATGTATTGAGAACTGGAAACGATTGTCCCCGACGTCCTAGTCCCTTTTATCATTAATCGAATTGTGCTTTGTGCTGTGAGATCGAAATTGCCTTGTTTGAGAATCATTCATAGTTAATCTCGATAATCAAAACCAACCAATTGAATTAGAGTGTTTAGGATTATTTTCTGTTTCTGTGACTGAATATTTGCACAATTTAATCCAGCTGACCTTCCTTGAGACACAACTCGGTGTTCGAATCTTTTGATTCTACTCCGGTAAAAATAACTACAACAGCAAGTAACTGATAGAGTGATCTTCGGTTCGACCGATGACGACCCACTCTATCTAAGTGCAGAACAATAGAACGTAGAACTTGTTCAATCTAACATGATTCTCATTCATAAAGGGCAAATGTGTAATAACATGCAAAGCCAAGCTTTCAGTATATAACACTAACAATCTCCCACTTATACTTAAAGTTTTCGCTTTTACAGTATAGTCCTATCAATTCGTTATTCTAAAAGACCTATGTCGATCCTATTGCCATGCTCATGACTCTTATTCCTTCCACGTGTTTGACGAAGACCTTCCCCAACAAACTCTTCGTGAAAGGATCAGCTAGGTTGTCCTCTAGCGCAATCTTGGCAACATCAACGTCTCCTCTACCAACGATATCTCGAATCATATGGTACTTGCGCTCTATGTGTTTGTTTGCTCTGTGGGCTCGAGGTTCCCTTTAGTTTGCTACTGCTCCACTATTATCACAGTACACGATGATACTTTGTGGCAAACTCGGTATCACCTCTAAGTCCACTAAGAAGTTCCTGAGCCATACTGCCTCTTTCGCTGCCGCTGAGGCTGCTATGTACTCGGCTTCCATGGTGGAGTCTGCCACGCATTTCTTCTTAGCACTTCTCCATTAAATGGCTCCACTTCCCAAGGTAAACACATAACCTGAGGTTAACTTACTTTTATCCCTATCTGGCTGGAAATCAGAATCACTGTAACCCAGACGTAACAATCTGTCTGCACGGTAAACTAACATGTACTCCTTAGTCCTTCTCAAGTAGTTGAGTATATGCCTCACCGCAGACCAATGTTCCCTTCCCGGATTACTTTGATATCTAGCCACCATGCCAATGGCGTAGCTAATATCCGGCCTAGTGCACAGCATTGCATACATCAGACTTCCTACTGCCGAAGCATAAAGAACTATCTTCATCTCCTCTATCTCCTCAGATGTCTTAGGAGACATCTCCTTAGATAGAGGTATTCCATGTCTGAAAGGTAACATACCTTTCTTGAAATCATGCATGTTGAATCTGGCCAAGACAGTATCTATGTATGAAGACTGGAATAAGCACATCATTCTCTTCTTACGGTCTCTTATGAGCCTAATACCAAGAATGTGTCCTGCTTCCCCTAAGTCCTTCATATCAAACTGCTTAGACAACCAGACCTTTACGTCTGATAACTCCTCCTTATTGTTTCCAATAAGAAGTAGGACATCTACGTAAAGCACAAGAAACACCACCACGCTTCCACTGATTTTCTTGTAAACACAATGCTCATCCGGACATTGAGTGAACCCGTACGACTGGATCACCTCGTCAAAATGGATGTTCCAAGATCTCGAAGCTTGCTTCAGTCCATAAATTAGACCGATTAAGCTTACACACTAGATGCTCACGACCTTCAACAATGAATCCCTCTGGTTGCTGCATATAGATGTCTTCCCGAAGGTTCCCTTTAAGGAAAGCCGTCATGACATCCATCTGCCAGACCTCATAATCCATATGAGCGGCTACAGCCAAGAGAACCGAATGGACTTAAGCATAGCTACTGGCGAAAAGGTCTCATAATAATTAATACCCTCGATCTTGGTGTAACCTTTCGCAACAAACCTAGCTTTGAAGGTTTTTACCTTCCAATCCGATCCTCTCGTTCTCTTATAGATCCACTTATGTCCAATGGGTCGAACCCCATCGGGTAGTTCTACAAGATCGCAGACCTGATTGGAGTCCATTGACCCCATTTCAGCTTTCATTGCAACATTCCATTAATCTGCATCTTTATCTTGGAGTGCCTCATTGTAAGTTCTTGGGTCCAACTCTAGGTCTTCTGGAACTGAATCTGATGACTCTCTAAGACCTATCCATCGATCGGGTAAATGAGAAACCCTCCCACTGTGACGAGGCACTGTCTGCATTGGTACACTATCAATGTTCCGTGTTGCAGTATTATGTGATGTATCTACATGTGCACTCGGTGGGGAACCATCGATTTCACCCCTTAACTCCTCTAAGACTAATCTACTTGTAGGCTTATGATTCATAATATAGTCTTCTTCCAAGAATCTAGCGTTTGTCGAAACGATCACCTTCTGATCCACGGGACTATAAAATAATCTATCTTTCGTTTCCTTGGGATAGCCAACGAAAACTCGTGCTTCTGAACGTTTTTCCAATTTGTCAGGTTCCTATACTAAAACGTGTGCAGGACTACCCCACACTCGAATATGTGAGAACCCGGGCTTGCGTCGTTTCCACAATTCGTAAGTAGTGGTCTCAACTGACTTTGATGGAACCAAGTTCATAATGTACGATGCTGTTTCCAGCGCCATTCCCCAATACGAATCAGGTAACTTCGAATAACTCATCATTGACCTAACCATCTCTATAAGAGTCCTATTTCTTCGCTCTGCAACCCCGTTCTGCTGGGGCGTCCAGGTGCAGTCAGATGGGATTCAATCCCAGCTTCTGATAAGTATGTCCTGAACTCTCCAAAAAGTTATTCGCCACCTCGATCAGAACGAAGTGACTTGATACATTTTTTTTTTTTTTTT